GGAATTAGATGGTTTTAAGGAAAGATTTAGAAATATCAATTTTGACAAGGAAGAATTTAATGGTTTAGTTACTTGTTTTAATGATACTTTATTAAGATGTTGTGATAAGTGTTTTAGTAAAAAGAAGTGTTTTAAAAAGTGGGTACCATGGTGGACAACAGAACTAAGTGATTTAAGAAAAGAGACTAATTATTTAAGAAGAAGATTTCAACGATGTAGTTTGATTGAAGAAAGAGAAACAAGAAAATTAGAATATAATAGAAAATTTAATTTCTATAAAAGAAAATTAGAAGAAACAAGAATAGAAAAATGGAGAGAATTTTGTTCCAAATGGGGGAATAAAGATCCGTGGGGTTTAGCATATCAAGTAGTGAGAGGTAAAAGATCTACAACTAAGAATATATCAGCAGTTAGGAAAAATAATGGTGCTTTTCAGCATCATTAAATCATTAAAAATAGGTATAAACTATACTCAAATGATTATGATGATTTGGATTTTCATCCTAAGGAAATTAGAAGATCAATAACTTCTATGGATAAAAAAAAGGCACCGGGTTTGAATGGTATTTCTGCTGATATCTTGGGTTTTGTTTATAATCATGATCCTGATTTGATTAATTTATTATTTAATAAATGTTTAAAATTAGGTGTTTTTCCTAAATGCTGGAAAAAGCAACTAGTTAAAATTATACCAAAGCCAGGTAAAAAAGATATTGGTGACGTTAAAACATATAGACCGATTAGTCTTTTATCAGTTATTGGCAAAGCACTGGATAGTTTAATTATTAATCGTATCGAACATCATTTTAGGATTAATAATTATTTGTGTGATTGATGCTTTAAATTATGTAGTAAATTTTATTAAAAGTTCAAAATATGAAAATTGTTACTGTCTAGTAATTCTATTGGATATCTCTGGGGCTTTTGATCATGCGTGGTGGCCTCTTATTTTAGATCAGTTAGCTAGGAAAAATTGGCCAAAAAATTTATTTAATATTGCAAAATCTTATTTTTCAGATAGGGTGGCAATTATCGATGAGCCTGGTATTAACATAAATTATAAAATTGATAGAGGTTGTCCACAGGGGTCAAGATCTGGCCCAAGATGTTGGAATATTATGTATGATTCAATTTTTGATATTAAATTTCCGGTAGGTTGTGAAGTTGTGTCTTTTGCCGATGCTACAACTCTTTTGGTAAAAAGTAAACAATATAAAAATATTTCAAAATTAGCGAATATCGCGTTAGAAAATTTAAAAATTTGGAGTATTAATTGTAAATTAAAATTTAATGCTTCCAAATCGGAAGCTATTTTCTTTGGTAAACCAAATCAAAGATATCCAAATATTTTATTAGATGGTAATAGAATTATTTGTAAAAATGTTAGGTATTTAGGAGTTTATTTAGACACTAAATTAAATTTTAAATACCATTTAGATTTTGTAACAAAAAAGGTAGAGAAATTTCTAATAAGATTGGTGCAGCAGCTAAAATTTCTTGGGGGTTAAATGGCAAAGCAGCATCAGTTATTTATAAAGGTGCTGTTGAGCCATGTATGTTTTATGCTGCGTCAATTTGGGAAAATAAAATTAAAGATGTAAAAAGTAGGAACAAATTAATTAGTGTCCAGAGAGTGTTAGGCTTGAAAGCAGCTAGGGCCTTTAGCACAGTATCGAACGATGCTTTTGGTGTATTATCAGGGCTTTTACCAGCAGATTTGAGATTCAAAGAAATTGCAATTTGGCAAAATTTATATAATTTAAATGATCAGGATCTACGGTTATTTACTGGAGTTGATATTAACCATGATAAAATAGAGAAGGAAGCTAAATTCTTAACGGATATTCATCCTGCGAAGAGGGATATTATGGATTTTAAGTTAAGGAAAAATGTACCGAATAAAGGAATTCAATTATTTACGGATGGTGCTAAGTGTAAGGATTGTGTTGGTGCTGCGTTTGTTGTTTTTAGTAATGGTGTTGAAGTTTATTTTGAAAAAATTAAATTAGGTGCGTTATGTGATAATTATCATGCAGAATTGTTGGCAGTGAAAAGTGCAATTAAATATATTATTAAAGAAAAGATAGATAAGTGTGAATTGTATAGTGATAGCATATCAGTTTTGGAAGGCCTTAAAAACATGAGGAAACCATCTATTTTACAAAAGGAAACATGGAATTTAATTAATGATTCAAATTGTAATATTGATTTCTTTTGGATTAAGGGTCACTCTGGAATTAAGGGTAATGAAAGAGCGGATCAGTTAGCTAAAGAAGCTTCGGTCTGCGAAGATTTACATTTTGATTTTAATGTGATTTCTAAGAGATCAGTAAAAAATAGGATAAGGAAATTTATGTTGAAAAAATGGCAAGATAGATGGGATAACTCAGTGACTGGGAGGTTGACTTACCAGTTTATACCGAGAGTTGGTAGGGTGGATAGATTTTTAAAACCCGAAACTGTTGAGTTAATTACTGGTCATGGTAATTTTGAGGAGTATTTAAATAGAATCGGAAAATTTGAATCTCCTCTGTGTCTGTGCGGCGGTGAAAATGGAAGTTCGATGCATGTTTTATTTAGATGCAAGAACAAATTTGAAGAGAGATGCAGATTAAAGAATAGAATGCTGATTAAAGGTATGGCTTGGCCGAACTTGGAAGATGATGTTAAAAACATTGAAAAGTGTGATGAGTGGTGGAAAATTTTTAATGAATGTGCT